AGGTGATTGCAAATAAACTAAGACCGAAGAAAAAAGGAAAGGAAAGAAATGAAAAAGAAAATGGTAAAAAAAAGAAACAAAAACAAAAATAAGATATCACCTCCTTTATTTACTTGTCCCCTCAGTGCTGTTACCTTTTTTTTGTCGTTTGTTTTGGTATCTTGGTGTTGCTGTTGACTCCAGGACCGTTTTTGTTACTCCGCGCAATGTTGAAGGAAATGTAGGGAGAGGGCGTATCATGCGTGCGTTGGACGAACGTGCCGTGGCGGCACCAAATATCTCTTGCTGTTTTCTTTTTTCCGTCTTCTTCTTTGGATGGGGTGGGGTGTGTGGGTGGAGGGAAGTGCGGAACCCTTTTTTTCTTTGTTTTTTTTCTGTCTTTCTTTGCTTCTTCTCCTTCAGTGTATTCTGCGGTTGTGTTTTTGCTCGAGTGAGACGCAACTTGGGCATAAAGCTTTATGTTTCTCGAGCGTCTACAGGCGCCCCCCGCTGCGGTGGCGGGGGCACTGTTTGGGCTGGCGCTGATGCTGCTGGTCGATGGCATCATCACGGCGCAAAGTGAGGCGAACGTGACGCACCACACCTCCTTTATTCTGCTTATGCCCGCCATTTTCTCCCTAGTTGGCTTCCTTGCGATGATCCTCGTCTCCCCTGTTGAGGTCAAAAACGATGTACTGAGGGCCAAAGCCGTGCTTTTCATTGGATGGATTCTGTGCTTTGGCTCCGCCGTCGGCGCCCTTGTGCTGTGCAAGTTGAAGTTCACGGGGTTGCAGGAGCGTAGACGCTCCGTTCCGGGGGTGGCGCTGGTGGGATTCACCAGCCTTATGCCGCTCACCGGCTCCATTCTTTGGTGGGGCAGGCAGTCCTCGCTGGACGACTATTAACCATGAGCCTCTCACCGGGCATTCTGCGTGTTTTCATGCCTATTTGGTCTGACTTCGCCGCTTCGCCAGTTCCCCCTCCCTCTATCCCTATATATTTATCTGGAGAGGGAGAGGGGGTGATGGCCGGACACGAGTTTCACTTTGCTTTCTTTTGTATCCTCTTCCTCTCTTGCCACTAGGCATTTGGGGACTGCTGGAGAGGAAGCTTGGGGACGGAACGGGAAGCTTCGGCGCACTCTCTCTCTCTTTCTCTCCCCCCCACACACACAAACAAACAAACAAAAGAAGAAATAATACTACAAAGCATAGGCCGATAGTTATAATATAAACATATCTTTGGGTGAAGACGGGGGTGGAATACCTTCGACGTATTCCGATGCGGGCGATACGTTCTGCGACGGCTCTCGTGAGCTCTTGCCGCTGCTTTGACAGCTCCGGAAGGTTTGGGAAGGAGCTCGGATTCGGCCACAAGATGCGCGACATTCCCGTCCTCACGGGAAACCCGCGGCCCGTTGCGCGGGAGGAGGAATGGCGTTGCGCCTACAAACTCACCGATCGCATGGAGGACGTCGTTAGGGATGTGCTGAGGAAAGATGGTTGGGGTGAGGTGGAGGTGCAGCGGGAGATGGAACAGATTTTTGAGAGAAAAACCCAAGACATTCGCTCCTCCTTGAACACGTGGAGCACAGTTGAGGAGTTCCAGCGCACCCCCTGGTACCGTCGATATAAGCCGACAGACACGTGCGTTGCGAAGTACATCTCTTACGAGGCGATGAAGCTGCTGGAGCGGGCGTTAATCCCTCCGTCGCTGAGAACCGACCCGTACGCGCACCTGCGCAAGCGCCACATGGAGGACAACTGGATGAACGATAGATTCTCGGAAGAGTCAGCCAAGTACATATCACGCGAAGAGTTGGCCAAGCAAACCAAGGGCCTTTCCGGATATGGACAAGTCACCCGGCGAAAGTTTTTAGAGTTTGACCAAAAGTTCAAGGCATCATACGATGGGAAACAGCACGTGAATGAGTCCTACTCCGCCTGGTTGCAGTCTCTCAAATGATGGGTGAAAGGGAGGAAGATTTATCGTTTCTGACACCTGGGTCGACGAGTATTCTGTTCTTTCTTGGAAAATATAACAAAAAATATTTTGTTTCTCGAGTGAGATGTTTCTATTTTTATTTTTGCCATTCCTCCGCCGCCCCCTCTTCTTTGCCTACTTGGGGAGCTCTAGTGAGATGCCGTGGAGAAAGCTGGACGCCGGAAAGCAGCCCCGCAAGGAAAAGGCTGAGCTTCCCCTTGCGCGTACCGACGCCGAAGACGAGGCGTCTCTGGCGAATAAGCGGTACCAGGACGTGGAGGAGCGTCGGTTAAAGGAATGGGAAAACTACCAGCGCAGCCATCGCTCGACCGAGGAGCAGCAATCATCTCGCGCATTCCTTGACATATCCATTGGTGATGTCCTGGCCGGTCGACTAGTTTTGGAGCTCTTTGAGGATACGGCCCCTAACACGGTGCACAACTTCCGAGCACTAATTACGGGCTCCTGCGGCGTGGACCCCACCACCGGCGTCAGACTCGACTACCTGGACACGCCGGTGCACGGCGTGGATCATGCAAAAAAGCTCATTCTCCTCGGTGAGTTGGAATCCCTTAACGTCTCCTCCACCGGCAGCCCTCTTCAGGACGAGGGGTACCGCAAACGCCACTCTGAGCGGGGGCTGCTTACCATGATTACCGACGGCCCGCACACAAGCGGCTCTGTTTTCGGTATCACCTTGGGTCCCTCTCCCTCTCTTGATTTTAAACAAGTTGTCTTTGGGAGGGCCGTTGACGATCTCACGCTGCTGGACAAGCTCGAGAGCCTTCCGCTCGATGCTATTGGCCGACCTCTTGTGCCAGCTGTCGTCACTTTTTGCGGCGCATTGACGGGTCCCAAGCCGTCCGGTGCCCCCACCTCCATGCGGGAGACCAATGGGATCACAACTGGCGGAAACACCGTTGAAGGCGCAGAAGCTTGACCCGCTTGGGGGGGGAAAAAAAGAGCGTTTTTTTTTTTAGGCGGTGGCGTAGGGCCATCGCACAATCTCATGTGCTTCCATTTCAAGGCAGAAACGAAAAGGGAAGAGGGCGTGGCTGGGGGCTGGCCTGCGGCAGCCGATGTAAATAAGCCCTTTTTTCACAGTTTTGACAACGCTGAAATTGTTTGATGGCTTTACAGAACTGTGAAAACGTGATGTAGCTTCCCCAACAAACTGTTTCTCACAAGTTCCTCTTTCGCGTTGCGATTTGCTGTGTGTGGCGCGTTTCGCCCTCCCACCCCGTAAAGGAAGGTGAAGGTAATGACGCGTGGATGTGGCCGCTGTAGGCTTCGCCGTCGGGTCTCTGCGGTTGTGGCGCGATCCGGGGGTTCTCATTGAGGCCCGCGATTGGATGAGGGCCCAGCAGCGGCATATACATGGGTTTCCTGGGAAGCGTGGGACCTCCTCACTGCAGCACGGCTCTGTGCGACGATTCTTGGGATGGGAATGTTGGCTGCACCCACTCCACTTTGCGGGAGACGTCGATTCTGTTGATGCAACGATGATTTTTTTGATGCTTTTCCGCTACTCTTCTTCATGCTTCATTCATTCTCATGAGGTGTGGGGGGCGTGTAATCCTTGAAGCTTCTGTTCCTGTTGTTCGTCGACTGCCTGGGCTGCTCACTCTTCTCTTGCTTTTCTTTTTACTGCTTCTCTTCCACATCTCACACGCATGCCGAAGAAAAAGAGACCAAACACTACTCGCTGCTGTGCGTTTTGAAGGCTCTGCAGTTACCGCCAGCAACACACACTCACACACAACCGTCGCGGCCTGAGCGGATTAACCGCAAGTAGCGAAGGAAAGAAAGTGAGAGACAAGCGACGACTCAACATGCCCCGGCCTATGTTTTCCGCTGCGGCGCTGCTGCTGCTTCTCATTGTGCTGTTTTTATGCGGCTGCAGTGACACTGTTCACGCTGGGGGGAATGCTCCAAAGACGGCCGTTGATCCATTGACAGGGACGACGCCGGTGCCTGGCGCTAACTGGAAGGACATTGCCGCCGCTGGTTTCTCAGTAAGCTCCCTCCGCGTCCCCAGCCTTGTGAAGGTGGGGGGTGACGTGTTTGCCGTTGCGGAAGCTGAGTACAAGGAGGAAGGTGGCGGAGGCGAGGTTTTTATTGGCATTGCTTCGAAGCTCCTCAGGAAAGAAGCTGCTGCCCCGACGGACATCTCGGCGGCGGACACAAAACTCCTTTACGCACGGCCTGAGGGCGACTCCGACACGGGCGGCGAGAAGGCAACGGATATCATGCGGCCAACAACACTTGTGGTTGGCGATGATGTCTACATGCTGCTGGGGAATTACAGT